CTGGGCTCGGAAGGGGCTCGTTCAAAGGCAGCCCCGAGCGTGGCTTGGGCTGCCCCCGTCGGGCTCACTGAGCATTCGTGCCCTGCGCAAAGCAAAGCAAAGGGATTCTAAGAGGTGTTCTTGAAGCATCTGCCTGGAGTAGTCTGCATAAACTTTCAGAATATTATAAAAAAGTCACACTCTTTATAGATTAGTTCAAAACTTTATTGTTAGAAAAGTCAATGCATTACAGTAACTCTAGCGAAAACCTTGTTTGCCCCCTCTTTTTAAGTGTCATCTTTATTCTGAAAAATAGCACTTTCAAACTAAAAAAAGTGTCAAAAGCTACCGATTATTTTATCTTCAACTGCTTCACAGGACAAATGGTGACTTTGGCTGACAGCATATAGGACGTATAGATCGCAAAAATATGTGTTTCTTTAGAGTAGGAGATATTGGTTCTGAATTCTATTCCCAACTTGTCTAACTATGAAAACAGATGAAATAAGATACTCTACAAAAACACTAATATATCTGAATAAAAACATCAGGCATTAACACATCTAAAATTCTGATGCTCAAAGACAATATAAATGTCAAATGTTTCTATATCACTATTCTTTCAGCTCTTCCACTTTTCCCCCCTCCCTTTCCACAAAGGGTCCTTGCCTTCTGTTTTGACAAAATCCTGTATTTGTTTTACACTAAGTATGCAATCCCTTCGGTCTCAGTCAGCACAGATATGGTTCCTGTGACAGCTGGATGAAGTCAGCAAAACTGAGAAGGACAGCCATGTGCTGGAAACTCTTCAAGAATCTCTAAAAAATATCTATCTAGTGTTGAATGCTGAAGATCATTAAATCAGTTCTACAGCCATGTGTTTGATACCAAAGTAAAGCACAGGTTTTATGACATACCTGTGTTGGTAACCTGTTTACCAGTCAATCTTCAGAGAAGCACAGGAAGACTGTATTGTGTGAATTTTTGCCTCTTGGCAAACTGGGAGGGGAAATAAGAGAGTTTGCTGCTTCTATTTATTTCCTTTTTCAGTAGAAATACTTTTTTTAATAAAAGGTTTTCTCAGGCTAGCTGCCTTCATTCACTAAGGATTAGGAAAATAATATATGGATGTGTAAATGTATCAATCAATACATACAGCAAATGGAAATGTTGTAGAAGAGGATTAAAAATCCAGTACAAAATAGTAATAAAGTATGATAAATAAAAATGAAGATTGCATAGTAAGCCTAAACAAAAATAACATGAGAAACTAAGTCTTTTTTTATCTAAAATGTATTAGGAATTTTCTCCCTTTTTGTTTCACAATTCCTGCTGCAGCTAGGATTTAACGTTTATTCCAGTCGATATCAGGACTGTTCTTGAAGAGATATTCTGCCTGTAAACAGAAGAGTTTCAAAATTACAATTATTTTCACATCTCCAACTTCAAAATATATGCAAAATAACAAAGACATAGTGGATAACATTGCTTTAAACAACACTGCAGAACATATTAAATGTAACTTATGGCAGAAAACGTGTCTATGTCAGAGAAATCTCTTTCCCCCAAAGACTATCCAAAATACCACTGACCTCACTCACACTCTTCATAGCAGTCACTGTTTCTAGCGTGGGCAAGAGAAGGATGTGTGCCATTTATAACAGTTTTTGTCATGCCAAGGAAAGGTCTAGGGACCTGCTTTCTGGACCCACTGATCCTGATCTTTAAAAGCTATGCAGTTATGAGGGAAGGTCTCATACTCCTACGCCTTCAGGTAGCTGTCACCAGTAGGCAAAAAGAAAACATTCCTTAGTGCCTGAAGTTGGATTGTAACACAATTGCTTTCATTTCAGGCTTTTGCTGGATTAATAAAATCCTCTGTTTCAACTTGTAAACAGGATGTGCAGGCAGAACAGCAGCAGAGCAATGATGTTACAGCACCTGGATTCCTGTCTGAATGCAATGACCTGACCCTGCTTGCAGCCCAAAGTTGAGCTGGATACTGTACTGAGGTCATTTGCAACTGGAATTAGTCTGTGAATGTCCTACAGGATTTTCTCCTTTATTTATGTGTGTATTGTGAAGGGAATTACCAAAGAGCTTGCATTTATCATTATGACAACGTGTTCAGTTGTGCCAGGGGGTGGGGGGTAGTGGGGGGAGAGTGATGTCCTGCTTTCTGAAAAGTTAAAAATTTAAAATCATTTGAAATTAGGCATAATTGAATTATTTGAAAGTAGGCATAAGTAGCTAGAATTTTTAGGCTGCAGGTTGAACTTTATCTGAACCATATGGTTATGTTTTTAAGTCAAAGATGGATTACAGTGAAACCTGGCACTAACAATCTGAACATTAATAATAGAATAGACAAAGCTGCAGCTTAAACATTACTTAAAAATTAATAGCTGGGGTAGACAGCCCATAGATCACGGTATATGAACCGTAACAACCACATGATTGTAACAACCAGGACCAACCAAAAGCCCACTGAAACCAACCTAAGAGGGTGTGGACATGACCCTTTAGCAAACCCTTGGTAACAGAGAGCAAACCAATGAAGGGCAACCAGATCTCAGAGCCTCATAGAGCTCTTGGTCCCATGAGGGATGTCCTGTGAGGGATGGGAAGTCTGGATTGTAATGGTGTAATTGCTCAGGGATTTCTTTGTTTGTGGACCCTCTTTTGAGGCACCTAACTCCAGCTATCAGATATCATAACAGGTTCATTGGCACAAATCAATCTCGTGGAAATGAAATCCTAATGTAAAAACGTTCTTTAACTTGTAGTCCTCTATGGCACAGCAGAATTGTCAGGGTGCATAAGACGTGCAGAGTGCACATACTAAGGGGAAACAGATCCTGGTAGTGGTTTTAGTCCTATTACTGTTTAACTACACTGGATCCTTCCCTTGATACACAGTATCAACTGATCCCATGAGGAGTAGTTTCTGGGTTTTAATTTTCACTATAATTGTTGGTCATCAGTATTGCAGATTCTAATCATTAATTAGTTACTATCCTGAAAGTGGGGAGGAAATTTAAGTCCTTTCATTAATAGAGATTATGTGAGTCTATAGGAGTATTCAAAAATATTTAAGAAACGAAACATAATCACCTTACCAGAAAATTGACTGGGTCATCGGGCCTGATCCTACAACATTCATTTATCCCTTGCATAAGTGTTGGCATGACATTCTTCATTAAATAATTTCGTAGTGGAATAGACTGGGCCTCCAATAACTCTTGTTCCTGTTTTTTCACTTCCTCCTGCTGTTTAATCTACAATTAATAAAGAAAAAATGTTTATAAAATCCATCAAATAACATTTGGCTAAATAATAATGCTGGTCTAGAGGAAAAAAATAGTTTTAGAAGCTGTGGACAGAACTTTAAAGAACAAGCTGACAGTAATAATTATTAACTGTTTATTATATTTAGAGCACACAACACACTGAGGGTACAGAATTGAACATAATAAGGACTGACATAATCTTTTTACTAAAATGATTTTATTTTTTTCTTTAACACCTAAAAGGAGGTTTAGTCTCAAGTCTTCCAGTGGTTCTGTTTCCATAAGGTATTTGGCAAAACAGTTGAAATACACTGTAGCACTTCAAAAATTAGTGCTATTGCAAAACACAGGTGGTTTCTTGAGGCTTATTTTAACTGGAGGGAAGGAGAATTTTTTTTACTCAGTAGAGAGCCCTGGCTTTCTAATTTTCTATTTTTTAATTGTGTTGAGTTTGTTTCTCTTTGGTTCCCTTTATTTGTTTTATTCGTATTTCATTGATGTTTTTGAGGGGCTTGAGAGTCAAATACACTAAAACCACAGTGAAATACATCTGTTTCCACCAGCTAAATTTATTTCTGAATTCAGGTTAAATCAAATGATATTTTTACACTCAAAAAGTAAGAGGGATGAGGGAATAAAACTGCTGCAAGCTTTTCTTCCTTCCATTCAATAGCACTTAGTAGCATGCATACTTGCAGCAGCTTTAGCCAGAAGATTACTGCAACTCATTTTCATTGTCCTCTCTTCACTCATTTTATTCATCAGTAGCCTGAGTCATATAGAGCTACAGCAAACAGATGATACTCTGAAGACTGCTTTTCTATACTCCAGGCATAACACAAAAACAATATTCAGATAAAACAGATACACCAATTTTTACCTTATTCACACAATCCAGGAGTGCTATTGAATAAGTCTTGCAAGTGGTCTTTGGCCACTACTCAGAGACAGCAGCTAATTTACAGAGTCAAGGGCAAATGAACAGTTGCTTAGATCTGATCATCTGCCTATTTTAAAGGATAACCTTAAACACACGTTTTATCTAACACCTAGTTCAGCTTTGATTTGAATCAGTTTGCACTTTTAAAGGACTTGGATTGAATCTAGCTAAAATGTGTTAGCTATTCTTATGAATTTTACAGGGTACAAAATGCTGTTTAATGTTGAATGAAGCTGTAAACAATTAGATATTAGAAAACCCTTATATATGAGCCTACATCAGAGAAATGTAAATCTTTCTTTAATTGTCAGTAATTTCAGATATTCAACATATCCATAGATGTGTATGGGCATTGAAATATAAGAAAAGGACTTCTCCGTGGAAGGATCAGTTTGTTTTTAAATAGCTCTAAAATAAGACAATAGACTTGCCTTCCGGCCTAACTTTGGGTGTGAACAGAAACATTCTTACAGTACCAATTTCAGGTCATTTAACTAAATTGTCCTTGGGTGTATAAAGATAAATAAGGAAAAAGCATCACAAGCAAGTCTTCTGGGGTCAGCTAGCCTAAATACCAAGTACTTATTAGATTATTAGCAAACAAAAATCATCCTTCAGACTGCATCAGGTAGTCCCTACCGAACCGAGTACTCAGCTCTTACACACGTTCTTGCAGGCTCAGAAACCTTTCTGCAGTGTAGGCTGGAAGATTGGGTCGGTGTTGAGCTCAAAATCTAGTTTGATAATTAAGACTTATTCAGGCGCTTAGAAGTAAACTAAGCAAATGCAAAAGTCCTGTTCGACTGGGTAAGGAAAGTCTCCACTGATTGTAGTAGATATTTATAAATGGTAAAATTTATAAAAATAGAAGAGCTGCAGCACAGCAACAACAAGAGTACCATAAAAGTATTTTAAAGGCATGCTGATACCAAAATGCAAAAAAATGCTATGTCTGTAATAAAAAAAGCATATTATGTAAAATGGGCTTTGAAATTCACTGTGGAGATAGCCTAACCCAAACCTAAATTAGGATACAAGGAACAAGAGAATTTCTGCTACATTTCCCAAGTGTATTTACATAACAGATTACTTGAAGTCATCTAAAACACATAAATAATAATGATTTTAAAAAAAAATGTATTAACCTACCCACTCTTCCCATCTCTCCTTTCTTTCTTCCCTTTCCTTATCTTCTTTACGCTCTTGTTCAGCTTTTTCTTTAGCTTCTTTGGCAAGCTGTTCCTCAGCTGCCTGGCGTTGCAAAACCTCCTTTTCTTCATCTGTCAAACCATAATTCCGAGGTTCTCCAACTTCCTTGATGATCTTTGATACAGCAAGTCTGTTTTCAAAATCTTCATATACAGCTACATCTTTTAAATAATATAAGAGAGAACCATTTCAAGGTTTTGTCAGCTATCCTCAAGTATTATACAAGACCTAAAAATATATTGTGTTCATGTTATTTGAATTTTAAAGCAAAAGATGTTGTTTTCAATTGCTTATAAATGTCAACTTTTTGTTACATAGAATGAAGTTTTCTAAATCTGATTTTCTTTACCAGTTTCATCTGAAATACTTTGCCTTTTAAGCTGATGTAAGGAAGAAACATACTAAAATAAATTTTACAACGATTGTTTAACAATTGAAGTTTGCCCAGGTTTTGAAACCCAAAAAAGAGGTCAACTACCATCTCTCAGAAATGTTCCTGGCACCAATCTTCTGTCAGCTTCTCCAGATGCACAAAACCATCAGTTTTCTCCTTTTCTCTTCCCTGAATGCTACACAATAGGTTGTTAGGATGTGGCACAAACTCCGATGTCTTCACTCATACACATTTACAAATACACAGACCTTTCTCCAGTCAATCTCTTACTGTGTTATATTTACAAAACAAATTTGTAGCTTCAAGTAGGAACACAAGGACTGAACAAGACCTTCTCTTTCATTTATTCCTTCTCCACTTCTAATTGCTGGAAGTTACTTGCACAATAAACTTGACAAGAAAGAAGAAAAAGTAAAAATGCAGAAGAATGAAGACTTTATCTAGGGCTCTCTAGTTTCTGTATTCATTCAATGTGGGGAGGCAGAAACAGTACAGGAATGTACATGGAAAAGAGGAAAAGTGATTGTTTGAAGGGAGAGAATACTGAGATAAAGGACTTGTTCAGGGGCAGAAAATGGAAGGTGTAAAAGCACAAAAGTGGGTAAGGAGACATGCAAATGGAGGGAAAAAGAAGAATCATAATACAGAATTTAGATAAGAATCCAGTCGCCTCTGCTCCACAGTTCCTTAGGAAGTTATTTTGAAAGTCATTGGCAAAGCTTTTTTCCCAGTTCAATCTAATCACCAATTCAGGCAAATCAGGCTCTCAAATACTAATACCATTTTTCCAAGAGTTAAATTGTTTGTGATTTGGACCTCAAATCCAAAGTCTGAGCATGAATTGAGGAGGAAACTAACATAATTCTATGTTATAAAGCTTATTTTACAGCTTCTTCTTTCAAAAATCAGGAATTGCATTCCTGAAATATTCCGAATTAAAGCAATACATTTGCTATAGCAAGCAGCCCATCATTCCTACAATTTTAGCTGCACCTGGACATACAAATTACAATGAAAATCACTTTTCTTGTCATTTAAAGTATTGGTAGGAATGGTTCAATGTTGAATTTGAGTTCTCAAAGACTGCATTTTTTTCTTGGATGGCCATAGAAGAGTACAATATTCATTTTACAGCAATAAGAATTAACTACATTTATCCTCAAAACTAATGCCATTTAAATGAGAAATGAAGTTTGCACTGATGCTAGCTGAGAGGAAAGATCTGTGGAGAAGGAGTTAATAAATTAATGTCTTTAAAGGAATTGCTGTTGTAACCTTAACATGCCTTTTTGTATAAGATCTAACATGCCTGTCAACATTCCAAGTTTGCAAATGAGAAAAACGAGACACAAGATAACCAACTTGCAGTCTTCACATAGTGAGTCATCAAAGCAAAGTTGAGTTTCCAGAATCTTGAAGCCCACTCCTTTGTACTAATCATATTTCAGATTCAGAAAAAATAATAATCATAAAAATTATACATAAAACCATATGTTACAATTTTCTAAATTTAAGGTGGAAGAAAACTTTTATTATTTTGAAACTATGGGGTTTCAAAACAAATCACAGGCACAATTTTTAACATCTTCTTCGGAATATAACTGAGCAAGCAGTTGGGTCTCTGATAAAATCCATTGCTGCTTAATTCTATGCATCTGAAAATCCAGCTGGAACATTGACTAGAATGGAGGGGTTAATGGCTGAGTTATCTTTGTAATCTGTTCCTACCATTTTACAGCAGAAGCAACACACCTGCGTGCCTCCATGGGTAACAACCAGGAATGTGAACATGGGTAAGGAGACACTTCTGAGACAAACAGGACATAAAGATGATGCTCATTTGAACATGAAAACCAATGCTATACACCCAACATGAAAACCATCTGGAACATCACAGTAGTGATACTGCAATAACTAAAATCAGTAGGCAAGTGAGTTTCTGTATTTGGAAGGGACTACAGTTGAAGAATAATCTTGAGGCATAATTTTTTGACAGTGCACAACTCTGAAATCAACAATCAATGCATCTCTTCAGGGTGTAATTATTAGTTTGTTGCCCACCAGGTAACAAATCCAATTTTTGAGGACAACAATAGCATCAGTGGATAAATCTAAAGAAAAAAAATATAAGGAGCCATGATGTATATGTCCATGAAATGTACTCTTACATATATGGGAAAGGATGCCAGTACAGAGATCTGTAAACTATGTCACAAAATTATTCTAATAATTCAAATTACAAAAATGAACAACTAACAATGCAAATTTTACAAACAGGTTAACAGTAAAAGAATATTTTTGCAGGTATATAATTATATGCTTGCTGTTGCAATGTTAATAAAAATATTATTTATATATGGATACTTACTATTTGATTTTTGTTACATTTGTAAGAACAAAATTTTTTTTATTCAAGTTATATCTACTAATTTTATTATTCCTTACCAACAAACTGAGGATGTATTTCAAGTTCATCAAAATAGTTGAGAACTGTCACATCATCAGCATTTATCTTGCGGAAGTGTTTCAGAGCTTCCAGGAACTGCTCCTCAGTATATTGAGTTCCAGCAACTTCACTCTCTGAAAGTTGTATTATTCTGTTTATAAGGAATTCATCAGATGCCATCAAAGAAAAAATAAATTCTGTGAAGAAGAACATATTGTTTGAATATATACAAAATTTCCAAAGGAATCAAGCAAAAACAGCAGGATAAAGCAATTTCTACATAGATTAAATCCACTCTATTTTAATTCTCAGCATAACCAATGCATTACACTTTTATTCCATTAAGCTGCTGTAATCACAACAAGACAGCCACTACTGTTGTTATCAGCCAACAGTTGGTGGCATTTTCACAAAAACCACAAACAAACAACCCAGAAACTGAACCAAACCCTTCCTTTTAATTAAGAAAAACTTCTTCAACAAAAAGGTGGCCAAGCATTGGAATAGGCCGTTGGAGAAGTTGAGATGACTGAGTCACCATCCCTAGAGGTATTTGAGAGATGTGACACTTAAGGACATGGTTTAGTGGTGGACTTGGAAATGCAAGATTTAGGGTTTGACTTGATGCTCTTAGTGGTCTTTTCCAACCTAAATGATTCTATGATTAATTGTTCACTTTTAAATATGAGGGCAGCAGCATTACATGAAACAGATTTTTTTTTAAGTTAAATTAAACAGGGACAGATGGAGTAATATTTTAGACTTCTTGTTGGTGCCAGCAATTTTTCATCAGTTTTTTTTTTTAATTAGAAAATTATACTACTCAGTTTGTTTATAAATAAATCTATTGAACTTACCAGGTATGATTATTTGATTAAATTTAGGCATTTTGCCTGCTGCTTGTTCCTCTTCTTCTTCTCCTTCATCTTCTTCTACTAAAACAAAAGTAAGAAATAATTGACATTTTCATTTGAAGCAACAATATCACTTTATTTGCTAAAAATGTGCCAAGTAAAACACAGGTTTGCCAATATCCAAATTATAATAATAATTGGTAATTAATCTAACCTTGACACTAGTTTAGAGAATTCAGTAAGTAGTTCATGTTGCCAGGCACTCCAGAATTGTACCTTGGGACACTAGTAGTTGTTTGCCTATACCACAGATGTATCTACATGCACATACAATTTTTAAACATTTTGACAGTCCAATTTTAAAACTGCTGTCTTATCTTTGGCCTCTCCTCCTGCCCAATAAATTGTTCTGCAAAAAAATAGAGACAAGGCTCAGAACAATGAGTAGAAATATTTTACAACTCTGTTAAAATGGTTTTTGCTACTAAGGGTCTGCTTTTATGAATAGTCAGTAAAACTGCCTGTAGAGTACCAGCTGAGCATGACCATTTGCAGAACAGCACACTAAGCTGAACAAGACTATTTTTCTGTGCCTTCAAACCTCAGCTATAATTTAAACATGAAAATGATTCTTGATCTTAATGTATAGACAGTGCTTGCTCATAATTTGAAATGTGTGTATCTACAATAGCTTACCTAATAAATACAATGTAATTTGGCTCACAAAATATGTACTGGTGCACTGGCTGGATCCCTTCATTCAGTAGCCCTTAAACATTATGAAGAAATTCTTCTATAGAGCTTGCTTAAGTGGAGCTGGACAAGAGACCATCCTCCATGCTTGTGCATTTACTTTTTACATTACCAGGAAAGATAGTCTAAAAATTATCTTGTGCATAAATTAAATAAGGTGCATTACAGTCCTTCTTACATTCTAATAATCACACATCACAAAACTTAGTTTTGTATCTTGCACTGCAGTCTTTACAGTGCTGATGCACTCAAGTAGTATGGCTCTGAGAAAAACAATGATAATGACAACATCAGCAGCAATAAAAACAAAAGCAGCAACAAAACCAAATCAAGCAGTACACACCTCTAAAAAGCTCCATTGCCTCTTCATAGGTCTCTGGGAACCCATCTAAAACATATCCCTGATTCCTACAAGGCATGGACATGAGCTTGTCCTTCATAATTTTAAGGATATACTCATCACCTAGTTTCCCTAAGACAAAGAAGGTTAATAGGTGCGTAGTTTATAGAAACAAGAGATCTTAAATTATTTTACTAACATTTAATACATTTTAATACATTTTTCTTCTACTTAGACCCTAAAAAGTTAAATATTTTGAGTTACTATTTGTATATTATGCATTGTCAGCAATCTATGGCATATTAAAATGTAGATATTAAATAAAATTACCTTTGTGTTTACAAGGATATAAACATTAGTCCTTAATGATCTAAACATGAAGTTAGTTTTATTTTGAACGCTAAAATCAGATTTTAATAGAGGCAGTAAAGAAATACTTCGAGAAAAAAAGTCACAAGAAAGCAATAATTTTCTATTTTCATTTTACAATAAGACTTAAAGATAGTCTTCCAAAAAAGACATGAGGTAGGTTCTACAAGTTTCATTTTCAGACAGGTTGTGATATGAATTAGGTTATTTACCTGTCCTACGTTGCCGAGAAAATACATAGGAGGAAAGTCAGGTTTGACCTGAAATTTTGTCCTTTTGTTTCTTACTTTATTTTGCTTTGACAATTAAAAGTCTTAGATATTTATAAACCATTCTAATCATAAAAGTTTGTAACTATTTTTAAAGACATTGTTATTTTAAACAACACATCAAAGCATGCAGAAGAGGTCTCATTACTGATGTTTCCAGGTGTGTGAGAAGTTAAGTTCTTTGCAGATACACAAGATCTAAATCAGCTAAACCCTTAGCAACAGATCACATTTTTAGGGGGGATCACTTTATACCACATGGAAAATGTTAAACACTAAGACCAAAACTACATGGCATTATAAGTATACAAATGGTAACTAATATTTTTCAGCAAGGAACCTTTTTTCAATCTTTTACAAATTCTTTCCAGGCTTTCAAAACAGTATTTACTTTTTAATGATGTATGAGGTTCTTAATAACCCCCACAATTTCATATTAGCGTGCACTTGTTTTTACTAAACTACTTTTATTATTGCAAGTTTGACAAAGGTATATTTCACCAGCTTTTTACTTTATGTTATAGAAATTTATGCTCTCTGCTCTGAGAAGAAAACATGACATTATTAAAAAATTCTGAAGTAGAAAGATGAAAGTGCTATGATTAAAGAGGCACCAAAATATTTTTAAAATATGTCACTTTTAATATACAAGGTGTTTCATTGGATTGGGTTTGTGTGGACAGGTTTTTGTTAGCCAGGGGACTCACAGAGGTGACTTCTCTGAGAAGCTGGTAGAAGCTTTCCCCATGTATGACAGAGCCAATGCCAGATGGCTCCAAGATGGATCTTCTGCTGAACAAATTTAAGCCAGTTAGGGATGGTAGTAATGCCTCTGTGACCAAATATCTATGTAGGGACAAAGTCATTGTGCAGAAATAAAAAGTGGCCAGGGAAGACAGAAGTGAGAATCTGTGAGAGAAACCTGTCTGCAGACACCCAGGTCAGTGCAGAACTAGGGGAGGAGGTGTGGCAGGTGCCGAAGCAAAGATCCACCTGCAGGCTGTGGTACAGCCCAGGGTGAGCAGGCTGTCACCATGCAGCCCATGGAGGTCCAGGGGAGAGCTGAGATTCACCTACAGCCCATGGAGAGGCCCACTCACAGCAGGTGGATGTCTAAAAGAGGCTGTGACCCCATGGGAAGCCCACACTGGAGCAGGCTCCTGGTACGACCTGCAGGCCCACGGAGAGAGGAGCCCACTCCAGAGCAGGTTTGGTGCCTGGACTTGGGATCATGTGGGGGACCCGAGCTGGAGCAGCCTGAAGGACTGCATCCTGTGGGAGGGCCCACACTGGAGCAGGCTGTGCATGAAGGCGTGCATCCGGTGGAAGGGAGACAGAGTGGAGCAGTTCATAAAAAGCTGTAGTCCATGGGAAGGGCTCATGCTGGAGAAGTTTGTGGAGGACTGTCTGCTGTGTGAGGGACCCCACACTGGAACAGGGAAAAGACTCCTCTCCCTGAGGAGGAATCAGCAGCAGAAACAACATGTGATGAACTGGCCATAACCCCTATTCTCTGTCTCCATGTGCTGCTGGTGGGAGGAAGCAGAGAATCATGAATAAAGTTAAATTCAGGAGAGAAGAGAGGGGTGGGTTCTCTGATTTTCATTGGCAATACATTTAAGTAATTCCCCCAAGTCGGGTCTGTTTTGCCCATGACAGTACTCTGTTTGTGATCTCTCCCTGTCTTTATCTCAACTCATAAACCCTTCATTGTATTTCCTATCTCTTGTCCAGTTGATTCTTGATTTTAATAGGAAATAAAAGTCTAGAACACAAATTTATTTCTTAATTTCCATTTGCATAGGGTTGCACTAGCCTACCCGAATCCCATCATCATACTTTGTATTTCCTACCTTTATTCTGCTGCATGTTTTCTTTTATTGCATCTAAGAAATCCTTTGCTTCTTCTATATTTTCACCCTCTTCCTCCTCCTCCTCCTCTACAACCCTTTCTCCTTCTCCTTCTCCTTCTCTTTCTCCTTCTCCTTCTCCTTCTACTTCACTTTCCACCCTGACAGGTTCTTTAGCCACAATTTGCTCCTGATGACAAGAACAGAAATATGCGTTGGCTCAGAAATTCTGTAACCAAATTTACTTTATACACAGATGTAATAAAAGAAAAAAATAAATAATTCCTTTCATGTGTGTTCATGAACGGTGAGATACTGAGCAACTTCCATTCTCTAAAAAGATTTCAGTGCAAATGCCAGAGATGATCAATATGTTGAAAGATAGATATTTCCATTCTCAAATAATGGGATTATAAGTAAATTTGAAATGCTGCCACACATCTTAAAATCTGAGAAATTAAAATAACAGGAATATTAGAAAACAGCAACACACCAGATCTGCAATTTTTTCAGAAATGGCATCATTTGTGCTAACATAATGTAGCTTGTAGTGCTTGCAGAGCTCCTTAGCAATGGTAGATTTGCCAGAGCCGGGAGGACCGTGAATGTAAACTTTGAGAGGCTGGAAAAAAGGATAAAGATATGACATTACTCAAACAGCACATATGCTTCTATGTAAAAGCAGCAATATTTTTAATATGACTAATAGGAAATAGCAATTGTACTTAAAACTAAAAGGATATTTTTGTCTTATTTATTTATTTCTTGTTGAATATCTCCTCTATCACCCACAGGTCTCAAGTAACATAGTTACTTAGATGATGAAATTTACTGTTGGAGAAAAAGCATGCTTCTATTTAGTAGACTTACAGACCAATTTGTTATGGCTAGTTAATGTTTGAATAATCCAAAGAGATGAAACACAATCCCTCAGATAGGATGCAGCAAATTTTGGAATATCTCTACTTTCCAATTGAGATAAATTTGCTGTCATTAAAATTATTATTTTGACCTCAAAAACTTCAGATCCATCACAATCTTAAGTAATGTCTCATTTCAGCCTACCTAGCCTGAGGATGAGTAAGTGCAATTAGGATCCCAGTATACACTTATTAAATATGTTATGCAATAAACTCATAATCATACCTAATTAAGTGTCTATCTTAATTTAGTAAATCTGACAGCACAAACTCTTCAATAGAGTAGTGACAGAGACAGTCTAGCTAGCCTTCCTTCTCACTGCTACCTGGTATGTACTGTATTTTTAGTTAGATGGATTTGTTCTGCGATGCAATAGTTTAACCCAAACACAGATCTGATAATTCTTTCAGAGCTATGGAGGGACTTTCAGTAAATAACTTTTAACAATAACATCTTTATCTTTTTTACATGCCCTGAACTCTTATTCAAAGTTTGAACCAGATATAGACATGCTAAACAGCTTTATTGATACTTGGATATAGACTGGCATTTTCCTGCATTTCATAGTTTCAGTAACCTATACATCTGAATACAGAAGTTCTAAATATCAAGCTAACATAGGAAATAGTGAAGTTGCACAGTAAATTACACTACAGAGCAGGGTAAAAGGAAGGCTATATTGCACTGGAATATCCACACTCACTGAATATATAAAGGGCACAAAATACTCACCTAACTATTGACTATTATAAATAAAAATAAATAAAAGATACACTTATTATATTCCTGAGGCAAAATATACCAAGAGTACCATACACTGCATAAAGAAACTAGCTTCAGAATAGCAGCTTTCCATCATTAAGCTAATTTGTATTTACAGAATTTCAATTTTAGGCATAAAGGAAATAAAACTCAGTCTTCTTTTTTTTCTTTTGCGTCTTATTTAAAGAGGCAAAAAAAAGAGTCTCTTATTTAAATCTTCAATTTAATTTTAAGTTTTTATGCTCACTTATTTTGCATCTATATCCATCTTCTATGTATTTTTACTTAATTAATTTAAAACTTGAGTTTATGTAACCATTTCTATTGGGAATAAAGAGAGAAGAACAGTTTAAAATACTATACCAAAGCATTACCAGTAATCCTCGAGCTTGCTTGTATTCCAAGACAACTTGAGCAATGTTATCTATCAGTCCTGTCTCAGCAAACCAGTTAATGTTGAAATTCTCTTTCAAATAAAGAGATTCCATTCGCAGGTTCACAAACAACATATCCAGTTGCATTTGCTGGAGGAACAAAGCTACATTTATTTACAGACTTAAGCTATGCATGTTAAAAGAACAGCTGGAGCAAGAGACTAGAATGGATGGGGAGAATAGAAAGAATTAAAGCATTGGGAAAGAAGGTTTACATACAAAATAAAACAGATATTTAAGCTTTTAAAAATATTAATTTTCAATGTATGATTGTATTTGAGTGTTCTCAAATTAGAACATGCAACACTAAGCAATTTTCTGTACAATTAAAAGTTTTCATGTAATTGCAAGGAATCCCTACTTTTATAAATTTATCAAATGCCATCTTAAAACTATCTGGGTTGTATTTTGTTTATTTCTCCTATGAACAGTTACTTCCAGATACATAGATTAATACAACATAATTTATGTATTCTGTGTTCATCAGCCTTAGTAGCACTGCATTATTAACCTTTTTTAAATTTTTATCATTTTGTGTAGGTTTTGTTAGAGTGCTCCCATATGCTAAGGGGAACAGTGACATCAGAGCTTCAGTGTTTTATTTTTTAAATGAGGCTGTAACTCTTCAAAATTCTGTGTTTTATGATGGCTAGATTTTACTTTATTTATTTTCCAAATTTAAACTCACTTTAAATATTTTTAGGCATATTTTGGGAGGAATTTTTTCTGGTCAAATAAAGAAAAAAGAAATTATATATTTCATTATATCATACTTTTAAGTTTAAATACTTTCCTGAAGAAATAAAAGAAAGCAAATCACTGACTGTTAGCTCTTTGCTCAGGAATGCATTTTCTTTAGGAACCTTCTCAATTTTTCCTGGTCCAATATTTTTACTGATACACTGTCAGAAAAACAAACAAAGAAACAAATAAAGAAAAACCAGCATCAGAAACACTTAAGAAATCAGATTCTTAGGAAAAAAATGAACAGGATTTCTGTGGATAAAAGATGTGCTGTAAATTTTATGTTACACTGTGCCTGGAAAATCAGGATACTAATTTGAAATAGATCTAAGAACGATACATTTATGCCTTGAAAATCAGGATACTGATTGAAATAGATTTAAGAACAATATTTTAACTTTAATGTTAGTATTGAATAGCTTTTGATTGCTAAGTAACACTTCTTCCTTACTACCTGCAATTAAAAAAAACCAAAACACCAAAACAAAAACAAACAAAAAAAAACCCCACAGAAAACTTTATAAAGCTCTTAAATATATGAATAAATTCCTAGTGCTTCAGATGTATTTGGAGATATTTATTTTCCCAGCACTTTTACTTCAGGTTCCTTCAGGTTCTTCATTAACAATTGAGAAGGGCTTTTATATCAATGCTACTGATAACTCTCCACATATCATTTGCATTTCATCATTAGACAGAAATTGTTAGTTACTCCTACAGCCCTTTAGAATATATTTAAATCACACTAAATTCCATAAAATCTTTGTAGAGCATTTGTGTAGACTATTGTCGGAGACTGAAATACTATAGTTTATGACTTAAACATTTTCATGAAGGACTTTTGCCTAATATAGCAAAAACTGTTTTACAAAGGCTGCAGAGAAGAGCGCCACACCCTGAACGGGGCTCCGGCTGAGGCCCCGGATTGCTTGCTGATGAAGATAAGATAAAGTAATAATTTAGGGCTGCGGAAAAAGGATGCATTCACAGAGCACAAGCCTAACACCTTCTGAGGAGTGACCCAGCCCAGGGCTATCAGCTGCCAGGCTGCTCACAGACCCTCGCACCTAAAGGCGTGGGGGGGAGGAGACTTTTTCGGTGTGAAGCGCAAAAGCCTCTGGTGAGAAGCAATGACCGCCCTTCCTCCACTGTGCACACCGTTCAGCTGAGGGGCCCTTCACAATATCCACAGCAGAAGGGGTGTCATGGCCCATCAAAGGCCCCCCAAAGGGGTCCTCAGACCCCGCACCAGACCACTGCAGCATGATGCTACAGATCCGCAGTGTTGCAAGGGACAGTGTCAAACTGGCCCCTGCAAGGGGACACGTGGGCGTTCCCACCTGCCCAAAGCCTGCATTAACCCGCTGGATTCTACAGGCTTCTGTGTGGTAGCCCTCACCACCAGAGGAAGTCCAGATGGACAGGAGCAACGAGACGTCATTGGGACCTTTGGATGGGTGATATGCTTCCACCTA